GTGTCTTTCATACTGGTAACAAGCTGAGATTAGAAGCAGTCTCTTAAACGGAGTGCTGCTAATCTAATTTTGTTACCTGTATAAAAAGACACCTGTCCACAGGAGCAATCAAACCATCAGATTCCAAACTCTCCACCATGGCAAAGACCAAAGAGCTGTCCAAGGATGTCAGGGACAAGATAGCAGACCTACACAAGGCTGGACTGGGCTACAAAACTATCGCCAAGCAGCTTGGTGAGAAGGTGACAACAGTTGGTGCAATCATTCACAAATGGAAGAAACACAAAACAAGTGTCAGTCTCCCTAGGTCTGGTGCACCATGCAAGATCTCACCTCGTGGAGTGTCAATGATCATGAGAACAGTGAGGAATCATCCCAGAATTACAAATGAGGGTCTTGTCAATGATCTCCAGGCAGCTGGGACCACAGTCACCAAGAAAACAATTGGTAACACACTACGCCGACAAGGACTGAAATCCTGCAGTGCCCACAAGGTCCCTCTGCTCAAGAAAGCACATGTCCAGGCCCGTCTGAAGTCTGCCACTGAACATCTGAATGATGCAGAGGAGGACTGGGTGAAAGAGTTGTGGTCAGATGAGACCAAAATCCAGCTCTTTGGCATCAACTCAACTCGCCGTGTTTGGAGGAGGAGGAATGCTGTCTATGACCCCAAGAACACCATCCCAACTGTGAAGCATGGTGGTGGAAACATTCTGCTTTGGGGGTGTTCTTCTGGTAAGGGGACAGGACAACTGCACCACATCAAAGGGACGATGGACGGGGCAATGTACCATCAAATCTTGGGTGAGAACCTTCTTCCCTCAGCCAGGGCATTGAAAATGGGTAGTGGATGGGTGTTCCAGCGTGACAATGACCCAAAACACACGGCCAAGGCAACAAAGGAGTGGCTCAAGAAGAAGCACATTAAGGTCCTGGAGTGGCCTAGCCAGTCTCCAGACCTTCATCCGATTGAAAATCTGTGGAGGGAGCTGAAAGTTCGAGTTGCCAAACATCAGCCACCAAACCTTAATGACTTGGAGAGGATCTGCCAAGAGGAGTGGGCCAAAATCCCTCCGGAGATGTGTGCGAACCTGGGGGCCAACTCCAGGAAACATCTGACCTCTGTGATTGCCAACAAGGGATTTGCCACCAAGTACTAAGTCATGTTTTGTGAAGGGGATCAAATCCTTATTTCCCTCATGAACATACAAATCAGTCATCATTTGTTAGACATGCATTTCTGCTGAATTTGTTGTTGCTATTCTGTCTCTCAGTGTTACAATACACCTACTGCTGGTAGGTGGGTGGTGGTCTTTTTCCTGTTCCTTGAGGGACCCCCCCAATGGTCATACCTGGACACAGCTAAGAGATCTCGGAAAGTGAGTGCACTCAAGTCACCTCAGTTGCGATTGCAAACACTTCAGCTTTACTAGCATAACATTGGGGTGTTTATACTGTAGCCTTTGGGCAGAAACACCTTCAGACCATCCAGTCAAATCCATGTACATTATCTTTACCTTAACTCAACAATTATTTGTATGAGGTCTGCATTTCTGCCTTATCTGTCACACCATATCTGACCCAACGCCCAGACCATGGCTAGAATCTGACCCAACGCCCAAGGTGTGGTTACAACTTTTCAGAAATGAGAGTAACAGTTATCTTCTTTTTTGTAAAGTTTGCAAAAACATTTATTTCTACATGAAGCTGGCATAGACAGTGTTAGTGTGTACAAAGTTCATATATATATGTATAATACACAAGAATCTTGTATTAGTGTGTACAAAATGGATTCGGTTATATTCCAGTAATCCTTTCACCTACCATTCGATTTTTAGACCGATCATTTCTTTGTGAGTGGGCAAACATTCAACATCAGCCAGGGAGCAAATACGCATTTCCTTCACTGTATTTGCTTTTTATTTTACTGAACATATGTAGTAAGTAGAATACATTTTGGTCCAAGTCTATGAGCCCTGGTGTGACTTGTCATGTTTCAACTCACATTTTTACATATCCTCTCTCCCTGGACCCCTCATTCACTATATCCGCTCTCCCTGGACCCCTCATTCACTATATCCGCTCTCCCCGGACTCCGCATTCACTATATCCTCTCTCCCTGACCCCTCATTCACTATATCCGCTCCGCATTCACTCCCTCTCCCCGGACCCCGCATTCACTATATACGCCCTCCCCGGACCCCGCATTCACTATATCTGTTCTCCCCGGACCCTGCATTCCCTATATCCGCTCTCCCCGGACCCCGCATTCCCTACATCCGCTCTCCCCGGACCCCGCATTCCCTATATCCGCTCTCCTTGGACCCCGCATCCACTATATCCGCTCTCCCCGGACCCCGCATTCACTATATCCTCTCTTCCTGGACCCCGCATTCACTATATCCGCTCTCCCCAGACCCCGCATTAACTATATCCGCTCTCTCTGGACCCCTCATTCACTATATCTGCTCTCCCTGGACCCCTCATTCACTATATCCGCTCTCCCCAGACTCCGCATTCACTATATCCGCTCTCCCCGGACCCCGCATTCACTATATACGCCCTCCCCGGACCCCGCATTCACTATATCCTCTCTCCCTGGACCCCGCATTCCTATATCCGCTCTCCCCGGACCCCGCATTCCCTATATCCGCTCTCCCCGGACCCCGCATTCCCTACATCCGCTCTCCCCGGACCCCGCATTCCCTATATCCGCTCTCCTTGGACCCCGCATTCACTATATCCGCTCTCCCCGGACCCCGCATTCACTATATCCTCTCTCCCCGAACCCCGCATTCCCTATATCCGCTCTTCCCGGACCCCACATTCCCTATATCCGCTCTCCTTGGACCCCGCATTCACTATATCCGCTCTCCCCGAACCATGCATTCACTATATCCGCTCTCCCCGGACCCCGCATTCCCTATATCCACTCTCCCCGGACCCTGCATTCACTATATTCTGTCTCCCAGGACCCCGCATTCACTATATCCGCTCTCTCCGGACCCCGCATTCACTATATCCGCTCTCCCCAGACCCCGCATTCACTATATCCTCTCTCCCCGGACCCCGCATTCACTATATCCATTCTCCCCGGACCCCGCATTCCCTATATCCGCTCTCCCCGGACCCCGTATTCACTATATCCGCTCTCCCCGGACCCTGCATTCACTATATCCTCTCTCCCCGGACCCCGCATTCACTATATCCATTCTCCCCGGACCCCGCATTCCCTATATCCGCTCTCCCCGGACCCCGTATTCACTATATCCTCTCTCCCCGGGACCCCGCATTCACTATATCCTCTCTCCCCGGACCCCGCATTCACTATATCCTCTCTCCCCGGACCCCGCATTCACTATATACGCCCTCCCCGGACACTCATTCACTATATCTGTTCTCCCCGGACCCCGCATTCACTATATCTGTTCTCCCCGGACCCCGCATTCACTATATCTGTTCTCCCCGGACCCCGCATTCCCTATATCCACTCTCCCCGGACCCCGCATTCACTATATCCTCTCTCCCCGGACCCCGCATTCACTATATCTGTTCTCCCCGGACCCCGCATTCACTATATCCGCTCTCCCCGGACCCCGCATTCACTATATCCGCTCTTCCCGGACCCCGCATTCCCTATATCCGCTCTCCCCGGACCCCGCATTCACTATATCCGCTCTCCCCGGACCCCGCATTCCCTATATCCGCTCTCCCCGGACCCCGCATTCACTATATCCAGTCTCCCCGGACCCCGCATTCACTATATCCGCTCTCCCCGGACCCCGCATTCACTATATCCAGTCTCCCCGGACCCCGCATTCACTATATCTGCTCTCCCCGGACCCCGCATTCACTATATCCGCTCTCCCGGGACCCCGCATTCACTATATCTGGTCTTCCCGGACCCCGCATTCACTATATCTGGTCTCCCACAGTACACAGAGCATGGAAATGCAATTATTTTAGTAAATATAAACTGCTAAATCCCTTTTCCCATCAACAGTATATAGCAGTCTTTTGACTTCAATCAGTGTCCAGCAGAGCACATGTTAAAGGTTATAGGAACAATTTTCATTCTGGTCTAGGAGGATGCAGAACCCCTGACCTCTGTCTGGACAGTGCTGATGGGCCCTGTGTTGATCACATGCACCCTCCCAAGGAAAGAAAAAACCTTTCTAGCAATACACACCAAACGGAGCATGTTCAGAGTGTCTCCACACTTATCAGGAAATAAGAGGGGGACACTGGAAGAAGGGGAGGATCAGAGAAGACAGGATCACACATCCTTTTTACACAATGCGGAGGATTAAACCCTTAGGTCCCACAGTGAGTATAACCAGTATGCTTTGCTGCATCTACAGACTGATTGTACTGTTGGGGGTTCGGTAACGCTTTTAGTGAAGTCGCACAACTTCAAAGTCGGATCCAGTGTGAACCACGGCTGAAGAAAGATTATTTATTTGCAATAAAAAAATGGAATTTAAAAAAAAAAAAACCTTCAAAATATTTTTGCCCCGCCCCCAAGACATCATGAACATGGAAATGGTGTTAGCTGGTGTGGATCTTCTGGTAAGCAACAAGTAAAGATCTCTGAGTGGAACATTTCCCGCACTGTGAACACAAATAGGAATGCTCCCTTCTTCGAATTCTCTAATGTCCAAAAGATTTTCCTTTCTCATTGAAGCATGTCCGACATCATACTAGTCTGTGTGACTTCGGTGGTGTAAAAAGGAAGCTGTTTTTCTCAGTGAAACAATTTCCCACACTCTGAACGTAATTAAGGATTCTCACCTGAATATGCATAAGGGTGCTCACCCATGTGAATTCTGTGGTGTTTAAGAAGGCTTCTTTTCTGACTGAAACATTTCCCGCACTCTGAACATGAATACGGACGGTCACCCCTGTGAACTCTCAGATGTTTTAGAAGGTCTCCATTCTGACTGAAACATTTCCCGCACTCTGAACACAAATAAGGACGCTCACCCCGTGTGAATCTTTTGGTGTAAAACAAGGTGTTTTTTTAGATTGAAAGATTTCCCACACTCTGAACATGAATAGGGACGCTCGCCTGTGTGAATTCTCTTGTGTTTAATAAGGTCTCCTTTCTGAGCGAAAGATTTCCCACATTCTGAACAAGGATAGGGACGCTCGCCCGTGTGACTTCTCTGGTGTCTAACAAGGTCTATTTGCAGAGTGAAAGATTTCCCGCACTCTGAACACGGATAGGGACGTTCGCCCGTGTGAATTCTCTGGTGTTTAACGAGGTCTCTTTTCAGAATGAAAGATTTTCCGCACTCTGAACATGAATAGGGACGCTCACCTGTGTGAATCTTCTGGTGTGTAACAAGTGTAGATTTCTGAGTGAAACATTTCCCACACTCTGAACATGAATAGGGACGCTCACCTGTGTGGATTATCTGGTGTCTAAGAAGCTTTGCTTTCTCAATGAAGCATTTCCCGCACTCTGAACATGAATAAGGACACTCGCCAGTATGAATTCTCTGATGTTTCCGAAGGTCTCCTTTCTGAATGAAACATTTCCCGCACTCTGAGCATGAATAGGGACGCTCGCCCGTGTGACTTTTCTCATGTCTAAGAAGTTCCCAGTTTTTTGTAAACAATTTCCCACACAATGAACAGGACAATGAATGCTTTTCTGTATGGCTTAGAAAAGATTCTTTGGGAATAGGTGGATCTATTAAAGTATCTGAACAGTGAGATCCCAGAGTCTTGGTGTGTGGTCCATCAGAAGATTCCTCAGGATTAGAGGGATTCATTGACCTCTCTAATTGGTAAGGGCTGTGATGTGTATTTGGAGTCACGGGATTCACTCCTGGAGAATATTGTACAATGGTATTATATTCTGCTTTATATTCTGGATATACAATGAGATGTTCCTCAGAAGTCTCCCGGACATAGTGTCCACCTGTGGAGAGAAATGTTACAGTCAATGTTATGAGTATTGTACAATCCCGACATTCACACACCAAAATATATCAGTCTACCTCCAAATATTTGTTGGGAACATGACGTTATATTAAGGAATGGAGATGGACCTTTCATATGGTGTCCATTATCCCTCCTCATTTCTTGGGATGATTATATTGAGGAATGGAGATGGACCTTCCATATGGTGTCCAGTATCTCCTCCTCATTTGTTGGGAACATGACGTTATACTGAGGAATGGAGATGGACCTTTCATATGGTGTCCAGGGTCTCCTCCTCATTTGTTGGGAACATGACGTTATACTGAGGAATGGAGATGGACCTTTCATATGGTGTCCGGTATCTCCTCCTCATTTGTTGGGAACATGACGTTATATTGAGGAACGGAGATGGACCTTTCATATGGTGTCCAGTATCTCCTCCTCATTTGTTGGGAACATGACGTTATACTGAAGAATGGAGATGGACCTTTCATATGGTGTCCAGTATCTCCTCCTCATTTGTTGGAAACATGACGTTATATTGAGGAATGGAGATGGACCTTTCATATGGTGTCCAGTATCTCCTCCTCATTTGTTGGGAACACGACGTCATTTGTTGGGTCCAACCTCCTCATTTGTGAACGTTTATATTGAGGAATGGAGATGGACCTTTCATATGGTGTCCAGTATCTCCTCCTCATTTGTTGGGAACATGACGTTATACTGAGGAATGGAGATGGACCTTTCATATGGTTTCATATGGTGTCCAGTATCCAGTATCTCCCCCTCATTTGTTGGGAACATGACGTTATACTGAGGAATGGAGATGGACCTTTCATATGGTGTCCAGTATCTCCTCCTCATTTGTTGGGAACACGACGTTATATTGAGGAATGGAGATGGACCTTCCATATGGTGTCCAGTATCTCCTCCTCATTTGTTGGGAAATGGATGACGTTATATTGAGGAACATAGATGGACCTTCATATGGTGTCCAGTATCTCCTCCTCATTTGTTGGGAACACAACGTTATATTGAGGAATGGAGATGGACCTTTCATATGGTGTCCAGTATCTCCTCCTCATTTGTTCGGCACAATACACATGATACATTGGGTAGTGGGGTAGGTACATCGATGATGTTTCTGCTTTCAGCATTTAAGGCTTTTCAGACAGAAGGATGTGATGTTCTCTGTTTTGTACATGAGCATCAAACATTCTGTGTAATTAAAATAAAAAAAAAAGATTTCACCTCTGTATTTGGAATAGTCTCATTCTAGATGACCCAGTCTATTGTTGTATTTATAAATGTGTGTATTATAATATATATATATAACAGCATTATATGAGATTTGTAGGAAAACATAATGTAGAATGTTTCCTGACTGACTTTGGGGATGAGGATGAAGTTTGTTAATTGAGAAGATAATCAGGCTCAGCTTTATTCAGTTATTCTGCCTTCCTCTGGATCATCTACCACTTTGAATTTTTAAATTTTTTTCTCTTGAGTGAATTCAATAGACATATGTATGCTTAAATAAATACTTTATACACCCAGAAGTAAAATAAAAATGTGAACTATTTCTGTATTTAATATTAATAGCTTACTTGTGTCCATATGTAGAGAAGATTCCTCCTGTTTACTTTTCACAATCATCTCCCCCTCCTCCATAGACTGCTGATCTCCACTCACCAACCTCTCTTCTTCTTCCTCTTTAATCTCAACTTTGATGTATTTCAGTTCTTCTTCCTAAAACCCAAAAATGACAGAATACATCAATAAAAAGGATCCAAAAGTCACAGAACATAGATGAATGCAATCTCATAGATTAGCAATCTCTGGATTTCTAGTTTATCAGTCCCACCTACCTGATGATGATGAGGGATGGTGTGACCTTCCTGTGTGGAATCCCAGGAATACAGAGGATGGGGACATCTCTCTGGTGGGTTCCCATGACTGGATCCATCTGTAGGAAACACACATACTGACTGAATCCATTGTTTCTATGTGTTCATCAGATGATGGGGGATCTACGTGGATCCTCCGTACTGCTCTCTCCTTTACAATAAAGTCTCCTCTTACCCGGTGATGTGAGGGGCGGCTGATTGTCCATCATGACGTCCTTGTAGAGGTCCTTGTGTCCTTCTAAATACTACCACTCCTCCATGGAGAAATAGACAGTGACATCCTGACACCTTATAGGAACCTGACACACACAATGATACAGTCACCTAGTATCTTCTTGGCACTGGTTACTGGTTACCTCTGTTATTTAGGACGTATCCGGTCTATAAACCAGAGGCTCTGGATGGACGGTTGGATAAATGGTTCTATATTTAGGACGTATCCGGTCTATAAACCAGAGGCTCTGGATGGACGGTTGGATAAATGGTTCTATATTTAGGACGTATCCGGTCTATAAAAATGGTTCAGAGGCCCTGGATGGACGGTTGGATAAATGGTTCTATATTTAGGACGTATCTGGTCTATAAACCAGAGGCCCTGGATGGACGGTTGGATAAATGGTTCTATATTTAGGACGTATCCGGTCTATAAACCAGAGGCTCCGGATGGACGGTTGGATAAATGGTTTCTATATTTAGGATGTATCCAGTCTATATAAATGGCCAGAGGCTATCTGGAGGCTGGACGGTTGGATAAATGGTTCTCCATATTTTCTATATTTAGGACGTATCCGGTCTATAAACCAGAGACTCTGGATGGACGGTTGGATAAATGGCTCTATATTTAGGACGTATCCGGTCTATAAACCAGAGGCTCCGGATGGACGGTTGGATAAATGGTTCCATATTTAGGATGTCTCCGGTCTATATATTATAAAGGACGTGACTATGGAGGAAGAGGATGGACATGATGGTGGGTTACTGGGTGTAAATATAAAATATCACCTCCTCTGCTGCCGGTTGCAGGAATAAATCCCTCTACTTCCTGCAACTTTTCCTTGCTCTGGGAACTTCCGATCTTCGGAAGATATCACTTCCTGACCGCAGATGACATCACTTCCTGTCGGTTTCTTTGACCACTTCCTGTCTCTGCGTTCCTCTGACAATAAGTGAAATCGCCATCTTGCGGAGACAATGCATCCTATTTTTTTTAATACTTTGAGAGATACTTCCTAATATCGCACCCAATTAAAATGTCAGACAATGAAAACAGATCAAAAAAAAAAATACAGATTGCGTATTCAAATTGAGGATCCATAAAATCATGAATTAAAAATGAAAATATAATTTTTTTTTCAGAGTATGTCCTTAAATGATGCCAGATACACAGTTTTTGGGAAAAAAAAAAGTTTTTGGCATGTAAGATTTTTCAGAAAAAGGTTTTAGGTGGTTATTTTCGATATTTAGCTTTGACTTGTAGGTGTCAGTGTGATAAAATGAGCCTTTTTGTGAGGTTGGGAAGATTTGGGATCTTCAGAGAGGTAGGTTATTTTTGGGTGTTTCTCCTGTCCTGGCACTTCAGAGCATTAAGAAATGTGATAAGTAGTCAGGAAATTAGATGCGTAATGTATGCCCCTATAAAGGCTGAAGGTGCTCCTTGGATTTTGGTCCCTTCTATGCCACTAGACTGCAAAACAAAGTCTCACATATGTGGTATATCCATTTTCAGGAGGAATAGCAGAGTGCAATGCTAAGTATGCCTGTGCTATATGAAAAATATTTTGACAGCTGTATATAAAAAAAAAGATACAATTGCATCCTCTTTCTTCATTTTCCAAAACCTTATGGCAAAAATTGTGACCTTAAAAAGACTCACCGTGCAATCAATAAATATGCTGGAGCGTCTACTTTGCAAAATGGGGTTATTTTGCGGTGTTTCTCCTGTCCTTGTACTTCAGAGCATTAGGAAATGTGAAAAGTAGTCAGGAAATTGGATGCTTAATGTATGCCCCTATAAAGCCTGAAGGTGCTCCTTGGATTTTGGTCCCTTCTATGCCACTAGACTGTAAAACAAAGTCTCACATATGTGGTATACCCATTTTCGGGAGGAATATTATTATTATTATTATTATTATTATTATTAATAAACAGTATTTATAAAGCGCCAACAGTTCACTCAGCGCTGTACATTACAAAGGGGAACAGAACATGCGACAGTACAGTAACAATACAATGCGATACACGAGGGGTTCGAGGGCTCTGCTCTTTCGAGCTTACAATCGAGGAGGGAGGCAGAGTGCAATTCTAAGTATGCCCATGCTATATGAAAAATGTTTTATTCACAGCTGTATATAAAAAAAAAATACAATTTCATCTTCTTTCTTCATTTTCCAAAAACTTATGGCAAAAAAATGTGACCTTAAAAAGACTCACCGTGCAATCAATAAATATGCTGGAGGGTCTACTTTGCAAATGGGGGTTAATTTTGGGTGTTTCTCCTGTCCTGGCACTTCAGAGCATTAAGAAATGTAATAAGTAGTCAGGAAATTAGATGCTTAATTTATGCCCCTATAAAGGCTGAAGGTGCTCCTTGGATTTTGGGCCCCTCTATGAATATAGGCAGCAAAAAAGTCTCACACATGTGGTATGAGGAATAAAATATTTTGTTTTGGGGTGGAATTGTAAGTATGCCAATGCTGCATGTGGGAAAAAAAACTTGTTAAAATGAAAACTTTGTAATATAAAATCCAATTTTATTTACTTTCTTCTTGTTCCAAAAAATTGTAGTGAAAAATTACTGTCTTGGCATTTATGGGCCTCAAGAATTGAGATAGGCAGTCAGTACATCAGGGGTTGATGAATTCTAAATATATATACTGTACACTATAGTTTGTAGACTCTTTCACACAGACTAAACAATATACATGTATTTGTTTTTTTATATATTTTCCCAAAGAAATGTAGTAGAAGAAAATTTCTTTATTTGCAAAGATTTAAAACAGAAACTAAATTTTATTTTTATATAGTAAACATGGTGGAGTCATTGTCAGTCAAAGTACCACAGCAAAAAACTGAAAAATGGCGTGGACAGGAACGTGGGTTTAACATACCGGTCTTCAAGATGTAAATATACAAGTGGGTGTGGTTTAAAATAGGTTTGGTAAGTAGGGTATCCCCTGGAATCATTTTGAAAATCTGGACTTGTGGGAACCCCTCATAATGGGCACAGCAGATGTACAGACCTAGGAACTCAGCACAGGGATGGTGGGAACCCCTCATAATGGGCACAGTGGGTGTACAGACCAGGGAACTCAGTGCAGGGATGGTGGGAACCCCTCATAATGGGCACAGCGAGTGTACAGACCCAGGAACTCAGCACAGGGATGGTGGGAGCCCCTCATAATGGGCACAGTAGATGTACAGACCTGGGAACTCAGCACAGGGGTGGTGGGAACTCCTCATAATGGGCACAGCAGGTGTACAGACCCGGGAACTCAGCACAGGGATGGTGGGAACCCTTAATAATGGGCAAAGCGAGTGTACAGACCCAGGATCTCAGCACAGGGATGGTGGGAACCCCTCATAATGGGTACAGCGGGTATAAAGAGCCAGGAACTCAGCACAGGGATAGTGGGAACCCCTCATAAAGGGAACAGAAGGTGTACAGACCTAGGAACTCGGCACAGGGATGGTGGGAATCCCTCACAATGGGCACAGCGGGTGTACAGACCCGGGAACTCGGCACAGGGATGGTGGGAACCCCTCATAATGGGAACAGCGGGTATAAAGAGCCGGGAACTCAGCACAGGGATAGTGGGAACCCCTCATAATGGGAACAGAGGGTGTACAGACCCGGGAACTCGGCACAGGGATGGTGGGAACCCCTCATAATGGGCACAACATGCTATTTGGTGATCTTACCAATAGAGTTCCTGAACATATAGAAGACCAGTAATGTACACAATCCGATATCAACCAATGAAACATGTCGTCCGTGTGTGGTCATATCTGGCCGTGTATCAGGACAGTTCAGGTGCCGTCTGTGTGAGTGCGGGACCGGGTCAGCGCTGTATGTTTAGAGGGTCGTATTACCATAATTCGATGCCGGAAGGCCCAGACCTACCAAAGTGTACCCCGAGAAACTTCTGAATATTATTTCCCCGCCCCACAAGACATCAAGAACATTAAAAAGGTTGTTAGCTCGTGTGAATTCTTTGGTGTTTAACAAGGCCTCCTTTACAAGTGAAGGATTTCCCGCACTCTGAACAGGAATAGGGACGCTCCCCCGTGTGAATTCTTTGGTGTTTAACAAGGTCTCCTTTATGAGTGAAGGATTTCCCGCACTCTGAACAGGAATAGGGACGCTCACCCGTGTGACATCTCTGGTGTTTAAGCAGGCATATTTTCTGATTGAAACATTTGCCGCACTCTGTGCATGAAAAGGACTGCTCGCCCGTGTGAATTCTCTGGTGGACAAGAAGGTGTCCTTTCTGGCTGAAACATTTCCCGCACTCTGAACACGAATGGGGACGCTCACCCGTGTGAATTCTTTGGTGTAAAACGAGGTGGTTTTTTGTCATGAAACATTTCCCGCACTCTGAACATGAATAAGGACGCTCACCTGTGTGAATTCTTAGGTGTTTAACAAGGTCTCCTTTATGAATGAAAGATTTCCCGCACTCTGAACATGAATAGGGACGCTCACCTGCGTGAATTCTCTGATGTTTCAGAAGGACTCCATTATAAACGAAACATTTCCCGCACTCTAAACATGAATAGGAACGCTCACCGGTGTGAATTCTTTGGTGTAAAACGAGGTTTTTTTTTGCCATGAAAGATTTCCCGCACTCTGAACATGAATAAGGACGCTCACCCCGTGTGAATTCTCTGGTGTTCAACAAGTCCTCTTTTATCATTGAAAGATTTCCCGCACTCGACTCTGAACATGAATAGGGAAGCTCACCCGTGTGAAATCTCTGATGTCTCAGAAGATCTCCATTATAAACAAAACATTTCCCGCACTCTAAACATGAATAGGGAAGCTCACCCGTGTGAATACTCTGATGCTCTAGAAGGTCACGATTATAAACAAAACGTTTCCCGCACTCTGAACATGAATAGGGACGCTCACCAGTGTGAATTTTCTTGTGCCTAAGAAGTACCCATTTTGTTTTAAACAATTTCCCACACTCTGAACATGACAATGAATTCTCTTCTGTGTGAACTCCTTTATGGCTTAAAGAAGATTCCTCGGAAATAGATGGATCTGGTAAAGTATCTGTACTGTGAGATCTAAGAGTCCTGGAATGTGGTTTATCAAAAGATTCCTCGGGATTAGAGGGATCCATTGACCTCCCCAGTTGGTAAGAGCTGGGATGTATATTTGAAGTCACGGGATTCACTCCTGGAGAACATTGTACAATGGTATTATCTTCTGGAGATACAATGAGATGTTCCTCAGAGGTCTCCTGGACATAGCTTCCACCTGTGGAAAAACAATGTTACAATAAAGGTTATAAGGATTTTCCACACCTTGCCTTCAGGAGTCATGTATGTTGTTCCAACGCCAAAAAATTCATAAAAGCTCTGGCATGGAATTGGGTGCAACTAGAATATGAATACAAGCAAAAGGATAAAATACACCCATGGAGATGGACCTTTCATATGGTGTCCAGTATCTCCTCCTCATTTGTTGGGAACATGACGTTATATTGAGGAATGGAGATGGACCTTCATATGGTGTCCAGTATCTCCTCCTCATTTGTTGGGAACATGACGTTATATTGAGGAATGGAGATGGACCTTTCATATGATGTCCAGTATCTCCTCCTCATTTGTTGGGAACATGATGTTATATTGAGGAATGGAGATGGACCTTTCATATGGTGTCCAGTATCTCCTCCTCATTTGTTGGGAACATGATGTTATATTGAGGAATGGAGATGGACCTTCATATGGTGTCCAGTATCTCCTCCTCATTTGTTTTGAACATGACGTTATATTGAGGAATGGAGATGGACCTTTCATATGGTGTCCAGTATCTCCTCCTCATTTGTTGGGAACATGACGTTATATTGAGAAATGGAGATGACCTTCCATATGTTCCAGTATATTTGTTGGGAGGAATTGAGAATGGACCTTTCATATGGTGTCCAGTATCTCCTCCTCATTTGTTGGGAACATGACGTTATATTGAGGAAATGGAGATGGACCTTTCCATATGGTGTCCAGTATCTCCTCCTCATTTGTTGGGAACGTGACGTTATATTGAGGAATGGAGATGGACCTTTCATATGGTGTCCAGTATCTCCTCCTCATTTGTTGGGAACGTGACGTTATATTGAGGAATGGAGATGGACCTTTCATATGGTGTCCAGTATCTCCTCCTCATTTGTTGGGAACATGATGTTATATTGAGGAATGGAGATGGACCTTTCATATGGTGTCCAGTATCTCCTCATTCGTTGGGAACATTGGGTAGTCTGGTTCTAGATGACTTAGTATATTACCGAAAGAAATGACTAGATATGCTTCTTAATTCAAAATATAAAAATGGTTATTAATAGTTGTAGGGAAAAAAAAACTGTAGAATGTTGATCTGGGGAGTTATCTAATTGCCTTTTGGGATCAGGAGGCGATAAGGCTGAGCTTTATATGGACATCCCATCTTCTTCCACTGTGAATTTTTGTAACCTTTCTTCAACTGATGTAACAATGTAAAAACATAATTTGGTGGGTTCACATTATAAATCCATCTGAAAACAAATGTGAACTGTTTCTGCATTAAGTGTTTATTACTGACATCTAGTCCTATGTAGAGAAGATTTTCTCCACCGGTTTACTTTCCATAATCATCTCCCCCTTCATAGACTGGTGATCCAGTATCCCTCCTCATTTGTTGGGAAACATTCTTCTTCTACCCTGAGGAATGGAGGTGGACCTTCCATATGGTTCCTCAGTTCTCCTCCTCATTTGTTGGGAACATGACGTTAAATTGAGGAATGGAAACCTTTCATGAAGGTCCAGTATCTCATTTGTTGGGAAAAATGAAACAAGTGATTAAATAGAAGAATGTCAACTCATAGCTCATTAGGTCTCCATGCATCAGTCTCACAACCTGATAATATGGAGGAATGGTGTGATCTTCCATGTGTGGAAGTATCCCTCCTCATGGAGACGGTTGGATCGGGTAACATCTCTCTGTGAGGACTGGGTTCCCATATTGTGGATCCATCTATAGGAAACACACAGGTGCACTGATGGTGAATGTCCATTGGTTTCTTTGTGTTTATCAGGATGCATGTGACCTTTGTATTTAGAATAAGAGCAGCATAGGTTTGACCCTAATTGTATTGAACCTTTCTCCACCTACGTGTTCATTGAAACAGTGAAATGCAAATGGAGCTATTTGTGCCTTTCATTATGGTGTCCAAATGTAGAAGATTCCTCCTCATTTGTTTCCAAATCATGACCCCCTATACATTGAGGAATGAGGTGGACTCTTCCAATGGTGTCCAGTATCTCCTCCTCATTAATTGTTTTGAACATGACTTTATATTGAGGAATCCTAGATGGACCTTTCATATGGTGTCCAGTATCTCATTTGTTGGGAACATGACGTATTAATTGAGGAATGAAGATGGACCTTCCATATGGTGTCCAGTAGCTCCTCATTTGGTGGGATGGGAGACATGACGTTCTATTGAGGAATGGAGATGGACCTTTCATATGGTGTCCCATGATCTCCTCCTCTTTGACCTGAACATTGGATCGTGTAGTAAATATGTGATTATTTTGGAATCTAATACAGAGGACTGGGAGATTATACTTTTATATTGTGTATCTACCTGATATATTGGATGGTGTGGTAGGTGCACCTGATGGTGCTTATACTGTCAGCAGTTAGAGGATGGGGACTTTCCTGTACCAGGAGCATGTGACCTTTGTATTTAGAATGAGAGCAGCATAGGTTGACCCTAGATTGTAAGAAGCCTTTCTTTATGGACTCATAGAAGTAAAACTGCTCTGTGAGCTATTTGTGCCTTTAGTGCTTATGTGACTTACTGATTGTCCATATGTATCCTTGAGAGATTCCTCCGGTTTACTTTCCAAATCATCTCTCTCACCCTCATCCAAATAGACTGCTGATCTCCACTCACCAACGTCTCTTCTTCTTTCTCCCTCTTTAATCTCACTGACTCACAATGATGTCTTCCAGTTCTTCATCCTAAACCCCAAAGATGATGGAGATACATTGGTCCCGGAAGGAACAAGAATCCCTCTCATATCTTAGAATACATTTTTAGGTCTCCATGCTCAGCCCTACCTGATGATGGTGAGAGATGGGAGAGATGGTGTGACCTTTCTGTATGGAATCCCGGGAATACAGAGGACGGGGACATCTCTCTGGTGGGTTCCCATGACTGGATCCATCTACCTGATGCTGGTGGGGGATGGTGTGACCTTCTTGTGTGGAATCCCGGGAATACAGAGGACGGGGACATCTCTCTGGTGGGTTCCCATGACTGGATCCATCTACCTGATGATGGTGAGGGATGGTGTGACCTTCCTGTGTGGAATCCCGGGAATACAGAGGATGGGGACATCTCTCTGGTGGGTTACCATGACTGGATCCATCTGTAGGAAACACACACACTGACTGAATCCATTGTTTCTATGTGTTTATCAGATGATGGGGGATCTAGGTGGACCCTCTGTACTGCTCTCTCCTTTACAATAAAGTCTCCTCTTACCCGGTGATGTGAGGGGCGGCTGATTGTCCATCATGACTTCCTTGTAGAGGTCCTTGTGTCCTTCTAAATACTCCCACTCCTCCATGGAGAAATAGACAGTGACATCCTGACACCTTATAGGAACCTGACACACACAATGATACAGTCACCATCCAGACACATCCCTTGTCTGTTACTGGAGAATGTCCCAGAATTCCCGGCACCGCTCAACTCTCCTGTCAGCAGATCAATGATCTTCTGGGTGACTTCTAGAATCTTCTTGGCACTGGTTCCCTCTGTTGTCAGGCTGTGAGGTGGAGGCCCTGTGATGGGTGATGTCATCTGGAGACGGCTGCTGGGTGGTAATGGATCTCCAGATATTTCCTTCACTATTTTATAATCCTGAGTATAGAGAGAAAGTAACAATTATCTCCACAGACTTCCCAGAATCCTCCTCACCTCTTCGGTCAGGTCTGTGTTTTATTAGTAGAGATGAGAGTGATGTCATGTGACCTCCCAGAATCCTCTGCACCTATATATAAATATATATATATATATATATATAAACGGCCGGACGGTGGCACTGCAGGGTCGGGTGGCCGTATATAAACGGCCTCCCCGCACCCTGCTTGTGACCGCTCCCTGGGAGCGCGCAGCACCGCGATCCGGTGCCTGTTGTGTCCTCCGGACACAGTGAAACACCGATCGTTGGACGGGACCTCTGTACGAGGTCCCGATCATGTGATCACTGATTGGCCAATCAGTGATCACATGCAAAGTAGTAAGCAAGATGTCACTCGTGACATCATTGCTTACTACGTGTGAAATCTGTGAATGATCACAGAGATCACATAGTACACGGCTATTCGCAACAGCCTTGTACCATGTGACAAGCTGTGACCAATCACAGCTCACTCAATAGTTCTCAATGGCTGCAGGAATGCAGAGAGAAAGAGAAATGATTGCTTTTACA